TTCGCAAGAAAAAGTTTAAAGAAAATATCGTTCAAAAACGAATGGATCTGTTTGGAGAGAGTGCTTTTTGCGCGCACCAGGATAGCCGACGCAATCATTCGTTTTGCGCAGTTTCGTCCAGCCAACGTTTGCTTGTTAAGCATTTTAACTGTATGACACTTTGATCTGTGCAAAAATAGTCGATATGCTGTTTGGTTCTTAAGCTGTGAAATTTTCCATCAAAAACATCACGCACCAGTACGTGAAACGCAAACGCATGCGAGAGCTGAATTCGAAATCTTAGACAGTGAATACCGTCCCCAAATTTCAACCCCCTAATCCACAAGCTTTCGAGTAACTTTCACGTCAAAACTTTCAGGTGGTCATACGTGAGACCTCGTCATACTTGGAAACTAAATTTGAGTTTATTAAGCCTATGCATAGACAGAAAATATTCTCCTGCAGTTCTTCTTTGAAGTTTTCAGCCGCCTCGCTCTTCTGACCCCGAGGCAATAACTTATCCACCAAATTTTTACGAGGCTGTATGTGAGATCCAGGCTCACGTGGAAGCTGAATTTCAGTTTGATATTTACGTGGGCAGGGGACATTACCCTAAAATTTTAGCTTACCAGCTTTCGCGGTTCCGAGATAATAATTTTCTCCGAAGAAATTTTCGCGAGGCCATATGCGGTACCCAGGCAAAGGGGAGGCCTAAATTTAAATTTGGGGTGTCGTACGTGAGCAAGGGGCATTCTCCTAAAATTTCGGCCTCTTAGCTCCCATGGTTCTCGAGGCAGTAACTTTATCCGCCAAAATTTTGACGTAGTCGTATGTGGTACTCAGATGTAGGGGAGAATGAAATTAAATTTGCGAGGTCAAACGTAGTCGGGGAACGTTCTCATACAATTTCAGCTTTCTAGCTTTCGTGGTTCAAGAACTGAAAGTGCGAGACAAAATGCACTCGGACACAAACATAAACACACGCACACACAAACGCACACAGGCAAAGGCGTTACAATACGCGTTTTGTGCTGCTGTTACACAGCGTAATACGCATAAAAACGTTTTTTTTCCTGCAGCCACGGCACAGCCTGAATTAGAACACCGATCTACCGCTGCGCACTTAGCACTACCTGAAAAAAATCGACGTTTCACGGGGAAGTGCAAGCGAAGGCACTCGTATAATTTAAACAGATATACCTTGACGATACCCTGCCGCAGCAGCGGCAGCAACAGGATGCTGAATTGCTGCGGCCGTCACCGCCGGTACGGTTGTGGCAAAAACAGCTCCTACTGTTGGATCAGATAATTTCATGGTGTTGAACAGGCCCATCATGCGATCAATTTCTTCTTTATGATACTATAAAAAGAAATACTGTAAGCATCCTTTAAATGCCAATAGTGAGATTCAAACAGCAAACGAACTCGGCTGAAATGAATGTGCCGTTAACAAACCCCATCCCGCATCAGCGAAAACAAATAATTTTACGATTTCTGGATAATTAGTTTCCGGCAATCGAAAGCAACTGTCGAGAAAATGGACGAAGATGTTTCAAAAATCAGAATTTTACAACCAGCTCACTACTGAAACCTTTTTAGATCCCTGACAGAACTGCTCGCAAACTGAATTTATCCTACCAAAAAATCTAAACTAAGTCACAAGTTGCCATTATCCTTATTGATATAATTGCTTTTTTCGTGCTTCCAGCGAGCTTTGTCAAGGCAAAAACAACAAACAAATCGGTCACCTGGCTGAGGATATCGAAACATCGCCCATTTGTCAGTGCCTGGACCTGGCGCAACTCCTTCAATATTAGATTTTGTTTTTCCTGAAATGAACACTGCGGAATACTAAACAAAGCCTTTTCGCATCAAGTTCCCGAGGGCACAACCTCGACTTATCGGAGGGGACAGCGAAGCACATTCAACCACCAACCAGCCTCCATCATTCCTGTTAACAAAAACATGCCACTCATTA